CGTGGAGAACCATCGCGTGGGGATGCAGCGCTGTGTGAACGGGCTGTGGCTCGTCGTGGCCGCGGCGGACCTGGCGTTGAACAGCCTGCGGCTGAGCAACCCGGGCTGGGTGCGCTATGCGACGGCCCGGCAGACCCTCCACGCCCGCTGTGAGTGCCCCCCGGGCCGCAGCGACGTCGCGGACCTGCTGCTCAGCCTAGGGGGGGTCATTACGCGGCGGAAGCGCGACCTGGTCTTCCCCGCGCTGAACCTGGACTACGGCGCGCCGTGTGTGTCCTACGTGGCCTATTTCGAGGCCGCGGACCCGATCCATCTCCGCCCCGCCTGCACGACCTGCGGATTTTTGTACAAGGAGGTCCTCCCTCCTCTCCCTTCGGTCTCGGAAGGCTCACGGGCTGAGGAGTTCACAAGAAACCGAGATGTCACTGTGGGGGGGCTCGAGGTCGAGCTTGTGCAGGGCGCGAGCCGGAGTGGAATAGGGGCACCGATGAATTTGTCCGACATGCCGATGAGCCCAAACACGCGGCGAAGGACGGAGAATGAAGCCACCATCACGGCGGATTCCAATGACAAGGAGAGGGAGGCCTCCCCTCTCGCGGTTCACATTCTGTTAATCCCATCTATCGTACGGAAGATTTACAACTATTTTTGGCTCGTTCGCTCACACCCAAATTTGCGCTCGACGCTGCTTTTGCAGGTTCGTTATCTGGCGGAGCTTTTTCTCGCATATAAGTATTGCTTCGGGGGGTACGAAAAGGGGGTACGGGATTCCGCGTTGAAAGATGTTTTGAATCCCGCCGGGGCGATCGCAGGGATGATAAGCGCGGCGGTTGGATTACTCCGTGTGATTGAAAGCGCTCCGAGTAGCTAACCAAAAAAGATTCAAACGAAAAGTAAAAGGTAAAAGAAGGAGCGGGCAAAAGCACATGACCAGTGGTAGTGGATGAATCGTACCCTGATCAGGTTATGCATGATAAGGGTATATTCATATATATACTTATATATATATATATATATAAGTATATATATGTATCTCTATGAATATACGTTTAAGATAATTTTTTTTTCCCATATACCACATTGTTCAAGTTGCACTTTCCAATGCAACCAATGCTAAATGTTTAATTATATATGTAATTTGAGGTGAGTAGAGGGCGGTGAGGCATAAAATATAAATGATAGTATACCTCTATTTTTAAGAGTGGTGATGTGTGCAATGGGTTTTGAAACTGTTCAATTTGGTATGTGATGTATATTTTTAAACAGTAATTGTTTAAGTTATTTTCTTTGCTGGTGTTCCTAGATTAGAAATGCCGAATATGTAGCAGATTCCTTTCCTTTATCTCAAAATTTCCTTTTGACTTGTTTTAGCACAAAAATAAGAGTTTTTTATTTTGATTTGTGAAAAACATCAAAGTAAAAAATCTACATCTTTTAAATCATATTTATATATACCTGCACTTATTTTTTCTTTAAGGCCTTCTATCTCACATCAGGTAATCTACAGGGTATACAGATCAATACATTATTTTGCACAGGCATAGTGTGGTGGATTGTTAATTACATCTATCTATCTATATCTATATCTGTATCTATATATGTATATATAGATATATAAAGTCAAAAAATACGAAATATAGTGAAGGTGATTTTTCAATTACCACATTCTATTTCTAGTGACATTTACTCTATGTGAATATTTTTATCATCCAAAAAAATACGTAAAGCGAAAAAAGGTCAAGATGTTATACGAAATTCTAGATATGACATCATCCTACATTCAATACCTTTTATTACTTTTCACGATGGCGCCTGACGCGCTGAGTGAATTGCGTCATAGTATCGAAGTCACAATCAATTACTTTGAGATGTCTTACTTCAATCATCTGAATGAAAATCAACGTTACAACAAACAGTTATTAGGAATTGATCTTCCCCTTTGGCTGCCGTTGAATGCAAGTTTACAATTCGCCACCCTCTGCATCATTACCCCGCTCGTTTTATCCCTAATTACTGTCTTGGTTTTGGAAACCAAGCTTGTTTTTATTTGGTTTGTCACCATGCTAGCCTCACTTTTTTGCTTTACCTTTGGGGTGCTTTTATGGGCAAACACGAAGACCCTTAACATATGGAATGAAAAGTATATTACGGAAATTGATGAAACTATTAAAGGAAACCCAAAAAAGGGCGGAGGAAGTTATTCAGCCTCAAAAGGTGTCAATTCGATCGATCCAGCAATTTCGATAAGGGTTTGGATGGCGTGTGCGGGGGCTTTTATAAGTCTGATGTTGTTTATGATGATATGGCCGTTCCGCCGGGCGCACAAACGAAGTAAAGCGAAGATTCGAGATAAACTTCGTCAGTTCGAGAGAGAAGAAAAAGAAAAGAAAACTAAGAAAGCCTTGAAAGAGAAAAAAGCTTCCTCACAAAGGCGTTCAACCTTAAAAATAACTTCCGATGAAAAGGATATAGCCACCCTGCGGAAAGAGGAGGGAGTAAGGGAGGAGTCCTGGATGACAACTAAGGCCCTTGCGGAGCATCGTCTGGAGAAATGGCAAAGCAATAAAATTTTAGCGCGTATAAATCACACTGATATCTTAGTTCAAATGATTTTTTCATGCGTACTATTTATTTTTGGATTAATCGCCGTAAATGTCATTCCACTGTTTCGCAAGGAGGGGAAAATCTATCAAGTCCAAACGAGCATGGTTTTGAGAGTTGTCGGGGCAATCTTTCTTGTTATAGCGTGTTTATCGATGTTGTGGGGTCTTCTTGGATTTTTCCGAGGGGGCCGCTCCCTGCAGCTCATTCTCAGGGAATACACATTGATGATTTTGCTTAAATTAACCATGCTCGCGGCCTCTCTTTTATACACGGTTGTCGCCACTAATTTAGTTTCCATGCTCAGTTGCCATGATGTGGTTTGTGGGACCGGGATGCGACTGGCAAACGGGCGCACGCACTTTCCGTATTATTTCAATTCCACTGTTTTCTCACCGTCAGTGGCCACTGCGAGGGTGAACTTGAACAAGGATCCGGTGCATAATCTATCAACAGGCTGTATTGTGTGCAATGCGGACGAGTTTAAGCAGAACTGCTCGCCGCTCTGGATTGCGCAGATTTGCAACGCCAGCATGCAGGAATCCCGCATCACCAAAGATGCCCGTGTGTCCTGCAACTCCAAGCGAGGTCTTTCCCTTTCCAGCGAGGTGTGTATTTCCATCCTTTATCTTCTCTTTTTGCCCATTTTTCAGTACATCATCTCGCGTTACGCGATCCGGCTTGTGACACAGGACTTTCCCATTGAGCAGCGCTTGGTCGACATCCTCTCAGACAAGGAGCTCGTTATGGAGAAGTTGCACACCTGTGACAATGAGGCTATGTTCCTGTACCGGGCGTACAAACCGGAGTTCTGTTACTTTAAGATCTCCCTTCTCTTCCAGCGGGTTCTGCTGGCCGTCATCAGCACCGTGATCTCCTACGATCCGAAGTCGTCACACCAACGGATCGGGATTTTACTATTTTTTACCATTTCACTGACGATGGCGGGGGTCCTGATCACCCTTCGTCCCTTTTCCTTCCCTACAGAGGCCATTTACTTCCCTACCATTCAGATCATGGTTACTGTCGCGAGTGGGGTGTTGTTAATCGTGCACACTCATGGTAAGATGACGACATGGGTTTCCAGCCTCCTGATCGTGATGCTCGTGGGGGTACCGACGGTTGCGTTTGTCATTGGTGCAATTCTCGACCTCCGCGGCGAGCGCGGGCGGCATGACCGGCTGCTCGAGCGCCTGAAACGGCGCTTCATCATCGCCCAGCGGTTTCCTGGATGGATGAGGAATGAATTGTTTCGTCGGAAGGACACAAGTCGGTGGTGGGATCGACAGAGGAGGGCTTCTAGGGACGCGCTCGCGGGAACAACCCCAACTCCCGCGACGAGCTCCCACGCTCGAGCGCGAAGGTTGTCGGTAGCTATTCCCGTCATCCACTTTACTCCCTGCGAGATGGATAATAAACCTTCCGACACCGTGACCCATGGAGCTTTGGGAGGCGATTCTGTGAACGAATATCTGTCGAACCCCAACTTTGAATTGACTACTTCAGATAATGTGAAGCGCATGAAGATGAAAAGCGACGAGTTAAACACTCTTAGCAACTCTGCAAGCCTCGTTTCGGTATCTAAAGTTGTCTTACCGGAACTGGCAGCACCCTGCCCAGAATACGACCTCTGTTCGCGCCTATTTACGCCAAGTTTGTATTTTATTCAGCCCCTTCGGCAGTTTTATGGGCAAGAGCAACGGGGATTACAGAGAGACCTATCAAGGGAATTGTCAACGGGCTCCAGTCTGCTGTCCGACTCTGCCACGGAGGAGAACCTAACGAATTTGTTTGGGATGATGTCAATGGAATACCAATCAGAGGCGCGGCATAACAACGGAGGAAGGGATAACCCTATGAAGCTGGGGGCTCCCTTAAAAATGGTGGAACGAGATGAGGACATTCGAGGTGGGAATATAGGTACAACTATAATCAACTATGCGAGGCGTTTGAAGTCGAATCTGGTTGGTTCCTTTCGAGCCTTATTTGGTAAAGTTGGCCACTATGAGGTGAATAAGCAAGGACCTGAGGGCACCTGCTCAGGAAATTTACCTCACACAAGAAGTCTAAACGCAAGCACTATGTGCGTCACCATTGGTCGTATGATAACATGCAGACCCAGTGGTGTATTACAGAAAACATATTTTGCGTATTTAAAGTTTCAGCGCATCCTGCACAGCAAGCAGTTTCTATTTCGGGATTCCAAAGGAGAGCAGGTCTATAAGCGCTACTGTCAGCTCCACACACAGCTGTTACACTCGTTGGATAAAGTTGTTCTCAGTCACACCGAAATCATGGAGCTACGGCGTTTGTACGATTTGAGTATGGCAGAGGCATTTCAAAAGGGATCGATGGTAAATAATTCCATATTTATGAGCATTTTTAGACCTTTTAAATGCACCCAAAAGAACCCTGTGTTAGATGAACCGTACTCCTTTTATTTGACGAATAACGTGGGCTGCGCAATGTGTTTCCCGGGCAATATTTCCGTGCACGACATATACCTCTTCTCAAAAAAGCATACCATTTTCAATCCCAACAACTTTATAGAGACCGTTCCAGATGAGATATCATGCTTTAGTGCCAACCAAACGAAGGACCTTAGTTTTTCTGCGGATTCTCTCGGTTGCTGCGACGCGTCTAGCTCCATCTTCAACAAAAAAGTCAACTTTAATGCCTCCTGTAATGGAAACCTATCCGCACAGAGGATGTTTTCTGCCATCCGCGCCATTCTCCAAAAACAGCGGAGGAGTGAAGCCTCCCTACCATTGAAGGAATCATGCACGCCGTTTGTGGGGTCCTCAATCCCCTCATCTGCTCAGAACAATACGAACGTGATAAAGCAGCTCTCTCAGCATCAGCTTGTTGATCCGAGATCGAAAAGTATGTCGCGAAACATGCCCATCGCCGCGCCAGTTTCGCTCTCCCGGCCGATTTTTGAGCATCCAAAAGAGATAAAAAGCGTATCATCAGTGCGAACTATTTCCCCATCCAAAGTCGACGACGCCGCGCGATCAAAATGGCTCCACAAGGCGGTTAGCCGTCTGGACGAAATGCGCTCTCACGCTCTTAAGCATTCCGGCGTTCGATTTCATCCGACACCGGCGGACAACGTATCGGACTCCGACAATAAGGTTTACTGGGAGAACTTCGCTTCGTGGAGTGGGGAGGTAGAGAGTCTATCGTTCTGCGACTATGAATGTCCAAAGGAGGCACAGACGCCGGCGGATTTATCTTCGACAATGCTGTCGTCCTGCGAGGACCTCCCTAACCCCTATCAGAACCTCTATCAGAACTTCTTACACACCTATGAGGTGGAGCTTCTCGCAGTGCTCAAAGAACGTCAGCGTGGTACGAAACCCGATCGTGAGGTTGCGAGGGTGATGCAGTCATCGCCTCACCTCTTCTTCCAGCTCCAGACGCACGATTCCGAGCACCGAGGGTTAAAGTCAACATCCATGAGCGTCAAATCAGACGACACCGTGAACCTCCAGAAGCGGCTGTGTACGATTCCGATGAAAATCAAAAGCCATGCCGCACATGCGCCGAGCAGGGATGACGCGGAAAACTGCGCGATGCGTCTCCGTTGCCATTACATTCAACGCCAGGTCAGCCGCACCGCGTTCTTCAAACAAAACGAGCATCTCCTCCAGGTTCAGAATACCATCAACAAGAAAACCGACGCGGCTGTGGGCTACGTGTTCAGCCGTTTTTTTATGATCCTCGGCATCTGCGCGACGATCACGCTCGCACTCACGATTGGTGGGATGATTTACGAGGTCGACACCCACTACCTCGACGGCACGCGCGAACCGGGTGAGGCGTTGGTCTACGCCCTTGCCGGGTACTCCTCCTGGGAGACCTTTACGGAGAACTGTCTTTGCACCGCGACCTCCAACGCTACCACGGCCTTCCCTTTCTACATCACCGACGCGGAGGAGTGGATTTGCAGGAATGGGATGACCAAGGAGCGGGTCCGCCGCAGTGGGGCCGTGGGCATGGATGAGGATGGGGAGCTCCACGACGGCTACCGCGTTCGCCCCCTGTGCGGGATGACCTTCCTGGCGGGATGCCGTCTCGAGGTCCAGACCCCGACTAACGGCGCTGGGGCTGTCGTGCGTCTTGTGGGATGCCCGGAGGACTTTCATCCGGCGGAGATTCAACGATGGTGAGAAAGAGGGAGGGGCTGTTACAGTACTGTTACAGTACTATTACTATTGCACACACACATATATATATGTATATATATGTATATATATGTAGTAGGGACTTGTGAAAGTATTTGCTTTATCAACAATGGTTAAATCTACCTTTGCCTGACCTTGTGGTGGTGTGTCCATCATATGTGTGACAAAGTGAGTAAAATAGTTTACCATTTTGCTTTTCACTAATATGTTTGATACGGGTCAATAAATAAACAACAAAATGAATAACTAAATCTCTATTTATATTTTACCTGTAATTCATTTGAATAATATGCCGTCATGGGCATTGTCTGTTTCCTTCTCTAGCTCTTTTTTTACCTTGAATTTGGAATTCTAACAAGCTTAGTCTTAACCGGATGATTGGATTAAATGTTGATTATTTGACTAGCTTCATTGTGTTATGCTTGCTAAATTTATCTGATGCATCTTATTGGATTTAATATGGACATAAT